CGATAAAAAACAAGTTATCCAGCAGATAAATTAATTTTTAATCAATTGCGTCATGTTATTAAATTTATTTGTTTCACTCCGTGTGCTCGTCTATGATATACGAGCAAGTCCATTGTGCTTTAATCTGATAGAAACGGTCGAAATCAGAGGAAATGTTAGCGAAGCCTTTTGTTTTTTTCTCGCACCGCATACTAACCCTCCGCATTGAGTAGGATTTGACAATAAACCCATACATCCTGGGCAGCCTGAGCCTATAATATTCCAAATACGAACAATAATTATTGGAACCCGCCACCTCTGACTGAGGCGCACCATTCCCTTATAATATAAATTGCGCTATTCGTTTTTATGATGTGCCCTCAGCCATTAAACGGCGTGTGTGGGTGGCGTTTCGGGGGGAAAAAACCGCTAGCGGACCATCGGTACGCAGCGTTGGGGTAACAGCGGCAAACCTATCGTAAATTTTATACACACACTCGCAATCAATTATCGCATACGAGGTCCCTTTCATAAACACTCTGAATTCGAAATGCGGGTTTGAGGGCTTCTCTTTCTCCGCGTCGCCCTACATAAATAAAGGACTAATGATCCGAGACTAACAAATAGGTACGTCGAAACGCCAAAGTGTGTCATTACACAGTGTGCTTAATAATAACATTAGGTGCCCGTTTTTGGGAGAATATAGTAATATTCTAACATCGTTCGTTATTAAACACAACACGGCCATAATAGGACCACCTAAACACTGCATACTGCGACTTGTACACAAAATATGTGCTTTCAAGTGGTGACACCTTTAACGTCCTGGAAGAAAATGATCCCATTCCGACTTGTCCTACAATTACTGCAATCACTTGAACACTTTCTGACTTGATCTGTTTCAATGACCCGGCTGGGTGACAATACGGTTTGACAATGAGAAGTAATTTTCATGTTTACCTAAAACTTCCGTTCGACATTAGTCCAAACACCATTGAATATTAATATTTATTCAAAAAACATTTATTTTTATTACCGTCAACGACCATAAAATATTCAAGTGATTGTGAGTAGAAAAAACATTTATTTTTTGTGCTCATTACACACGGATGACTTTTATAATTAAATATTTTCCAACCAAATGTCGTGTAATCCTACCAATTGCAAATATAACACGTTGTTTTATTAAATTAATAATGATAGACATTTTCGAATATTTTTTATGCAACTGAATAGTTTATTAACTATAAAAATATTTAAAAACTTTGCTAATAGACTATCGAATAGTTTTATAACTATCAAATATTTTTATTATCGAATACTTCGAATAGCGGAAAACTATCAGGTAGTTTGATTGTTATTATTCGATATTTCACTTCACACATAATTATATAAATAAAATATCATCAATACAATTTTGGAAATGTTTTTATGGTGGCGTTTTTGTAAACACCTAGTAATACTTAAAAAGCGTGAGAATCCAAAAATATGGCGCCTCTTAATGCGGTAAGTCATTACTTGTAAATGGACGTCAGATGTTGTTATAAATTAATTTTTTTGTTTAAAAATCAAATTTACAAGAGCGCATAATAAAATAACTACAACGTAAATTATTTTTAATTGAAGTATCTCATTAAACGAAACTTGTGGTGGATAAATAAGTTACGAAGTGTAATTTATAATGTCATATTTAAATACTAAAAATTAATTGTAATACTGATATTTATGATGAATTTCATTATAACAACATGATCTGTTTTACATTAAAACATTACAATTTTTCTAACAAATAATTAAAAACAATTTTTTTACAATATAAATAACCTAGTTTTATAATTATCTTAATTAAACAAGTGTACGTACACTTCTTATAGAACAGTTCTACAAAATAACTTTTTATAATTCGACAATATCCGTTCCAGCAGATGTACAGAGATATTTGAAACTTCGTTGCGTTCATAACGTAATGTTACTTCATCACGTCGTTTGATGAACTTGTTTTTTTATCAGACGCTCTGATCGTAATTATCAGGTCTAGTATGCTTGTGATAATTATTTAATCGCTTTCATCGCATTATAATCGATGCATACCAGTATAGTTTATCGAGCCACAATACAAAACTGTTAATTATTGAATGGTTAATCGATAAAATAGAATTCGGAATTAATCGAATTCCCAATGGGGAGTGATCCAAGGCGATTTGTAATTCGCAATTATAACTCTTAAGCACATAATTCGACGTTTCTATCATTCAATCGTTGTGCTTTGTTATGTAAAACTAGTACCAATTGTTCGTTTCGTTAATTATGACGTTACTTGTTCGTGTCATCGACACAATCGTATAAAATAACGTGCCATAAATAACACACAGCAATCTTCAGGTCGATAAATACCACGCCTTTGACTTTCGCGCGATCGTTCAGAGGACTGTCAGGTTTTTGCTGGAGGAAAACTTTGTCGCTGTTTATTCCAACAGCATTGCTGACGGAAAGCGACTTTTTCGTAATTCGAAATAATTTGAATATAAAGAAACCGAAAACTGTCTATTTCCTCAGATCTTCCGTGTCTTTAGTCCGAAGATATGTGTGTGTGTGGATACATTTTGTATTATTCGTACTCGTGGACCTCCGAAGTAAGTTTGCTTTGGGGCGCAAAGGTATGGGACACGGCTTTTGTCGCTTTGCAAAACTTTCCTTATTGAAAATCTCGTTAACGAGACCCGTGAAACTTTTTTCAATGTAACGCACGCACACAGCCTTCTTACCTACACTTCTTTTCGATCTCTCACCGCCGCAAATCTCCCGACGTCCAAACCTCGGAAACGTTAAACCTTGTTGATTCTCTGCGCTTTCCCAGCAATCTTCCTCAGACCGCGTTTATACGCACCCCGCGCCCGGTCGGTAATATGTGTCCGAGTACGGTTTAATTACGGTTTGTGTCGGTATTTATATATAATAATACAGTTTCATGTGCGAAAAATACTGTTTGAACGGCGTTGGACAAGGGAAAAACAACCGGGTAAACGTTTTTAATGGGCCGGCGCGCAGTTTGCAATAAAAGTCGTTATGTACAGTACAAACGGGAAACGATTAAACGTAACAATATTCCTGGAACACTGTTATATAGAGGTGATGTCTGTGCGGGAGAGTGTCAGTCGACGCTTTTATTTTACACTCGAGTCTCGATTTCCCGACGAAAGCATTACCAAAATTTTCAATTTTGCATACAAAGTGCACCCACCGGTCTTTCCTGTAAAATGTCTACTCGTCCTCGCGTGCACACACCTGTAATCAATTTCATCAGCTAATCACATTCTCAATTAGTTCCAAGACTATTCCGTCGTAGTTTATTAAAGGCACTCACGCCCCTTCGACGCAAACTTACTTAATGAAGGGGCGTATACTGTATACTTTAAGTGTGTGCAGGATACCGAGAGAATTTCAAATTAAAAAAACAACATGGGTGGACGGAAATTAATGTGTATATCGTAGCAGACACTTGACTGCAACAATATAAAAACCGACCACTAGAAAAATGATCGTTTCTAATTTATTTTTTACGAATCGGTTACTAATCAAATTCAATAATGAATGATAAAAAAAAAACGGTTCCGTCTGCTTTCAATACAAATGGTTAATTACTGTTTCTTTAAACCCATCGATACCTGGTGAAGACGATTTAAGGAGCGATCACCTGTAGTTTGTACCAGAAAATTCGTGACCGCATATAACGTAACCCGTTAACGACGAACAAATAGCATTGGGCAGCTTTCTTTGTCGGATAACAACGAAAATACAAGTCCGTCTGAATAGTGTCCAGAAGATGCGCGTGTCATCTCTGTGTAATGCAGCTATGAATGAGATAAAAGTAAATTTGTTCAATGTGCGCGTTACCGGATAACGTGTTCATACGTCAACATTATAACGTGTGAATCGTGTAGCTATTAGAATGAAAAAAAAAAAATGCACTTGATCAACAGACGTCGTCGGCGAAGACTCGGCCAGACTAGGAACACGATTTCGTTTTGTCTTCGTGTTATTCGAAAATATCAAAAGAAACCAACGACTTAATCATCCTTTTATATTTTCAACACATGTGATTAAAGCAGAGAAATATTTGCGTTATTTTTCAACTTGTACATAAATTCTTCATTGTCATAACACGGATATTAAAATAAATGTTTTTCATATTCAAATAGGATGAAAGAGAATACACCACTAGCACGAAACAATCGTAAGACGATGACGACAATGTGCATTGACTGCCATAAAACACGAGAGCAAATTAATTACTTCTAAATTAACTTATTTATTTTATCTCCGTAAGCTTCATCATAGTTCTCTAAATGTCTACTGAAATTTAGTTACTATCGAAATAAACATAACATAATGCTCATTTGATAATCTAGTTAATTTTAACAAAACTTTATTCATTAGAACCAATACCTGATGTGAACTGATTACCGAAAATAAACAAGGTCAAAACCTTTGATAAAATAATTTATTTTTTATGCAAATACCATCTCAATTGTACTCGGGATACGACTAACCACTCGATGTATTTCATACACATTATCCTTTGGGGTGATCTTGTTTATTTTTTTCTTTAAAAATACCATTTATCGTACCTGCTGCCCGTACAATTGAGAAACGAAACCGACGTGCTCTAAATCACAAGTTCGTGATCTCTGGGCACATGCGACTGGAGGAGCAAGACGTTCCGTCGGTCGACATCGAACCACCTAGACCCGTACACACATATTTTCACCATCACGATTCCGCATGATACGCCGGTTAATGTGATCGCAGTGGTCACGTACACTACATTATAACGATTAAAAAAGAATTTACGCGAATATATGGAAATAAATACTTATCTTGCGTACGGGGTGCAAACAAAATTATGTTTTGTGATGAAAAAAAATGAAACCAACACGATCGTAAATAATAGTCGAACCGTGTAAAGGTTTCTTATTACTTTTCTTATTCTTATATTTTATCTTTTTTTTTTTTTTTTACAGTAAACGGTGGATGGTCATCGTGGACTCCGTGGTCGGAATGCAGCTCCCGGTGCGGTAAAGGAACGCAGAAAAGGTCTCGTATGTGCAACAATCCGGTGCCGCTAAACGGCGGCAAACCTTGTGTCGGATCGACCATACACAAAGCCGAATGCACGTCTATATGTCCCGGTAAGTATAATTATTGTTTTTATTTCCATAGTTAAGAAAAAAACATCAACTCCTCTTAAACGATACACTGCGATAGTGTTTTGAGAGCGTCGTCGAAATTTATAGTTCTGCAAAATCATTAGTGATACCTAGACTTGACATAACTTATTGTTTTTGATTCTCTTCCTTGTTAATTGACTTTTGAGACCAGCTTGTCAGCCGAATCAAAATTAGCACTTTACACCACGTACGATCACAGTGAAACATTATATAGGAGTGGTTAACCTACATAAGTACAACACGAACTCGATAACTATAAACGACCCCAATTAAATTGCCTAATAACACTTATTGTTCTCCTCGCAATAACCGTTTGAGGTTCCTATGTCTCGAATATTGAACACTGAAGATCAATAATGAACGTTTAAAACATTTCTATGGGTTTTTGTAATTAATTTATAACCCTCGAGCGCCACAAAGCTTACAACGTAATGGCTTTTTCAACTTCTATTACTATTATTTTTCTAGAACTGCTCGGTGTAGAAACTCTAGTTTTTCCTTATCTTAAGTCGCTCTACGGAAAACAAACAACAAGTAAATTAAGTTAGATACCAGTCGTTTGTTAGTTGTTTCTCGCAAACTACCCGGTGCACGATAGATGTTAAGTTTTGAATTTTTAATCTTGACAATTATTTTAATCATCCCAAAGTTGCGTGTCAAATTCGAAAAGAAGTTTTTACAACAATGAAAATAAATAATGTACTTATACAATGGGGTGCATACGCACGAATACCATCGTCAATCATATTTATTTATTTACGTCCTTTGTATGATACAAGTCTCGCTGCAATGTATAAGAAATGCATACGAAATTTTCCACATATACCTACGGGAACACAACAAAGAGTTGACTTAAATATATTGTAGGTATGAATAAAAGTTTACGCGGTGGGAAAGAAAAATGTCAACGGCACCAAACACTTAAATAGTTTCGACGAACACCACGTCGTCTCTTGGTTCGAGTTTAAGTGTTTTAGTTTGGCTCAGACCTAGTCTGTATCGATAAACTTGATTTTTCAACTAGCGCGTATTATGCTTGTTTTCATAATAATACCGAGCTCGATTTTATATGAAGAAATTGAGCGTTTCAAAAGTTAAACATTTGCATAACGGTAACGAGGCGCATTATTTGCTGACGGAAAGAGTCGAACATTTTTCCTATAAAACGCAGATTATTAAAATAAGATGTTTGTTTACACGAGTTTGGTCGAAGCTGTGTAAACATTATTGTTTTTACTCGGTCCTCGTCGAAAAACCCTTTCAGCTGTCGTACGCGGATTTCCTAAGTGGATCCACTTTACATAAAATAAAACGCGCACAAACACTGCCGTTCTCGCGGAGGTTCGGTGAGGGTACTGTGAAAAAAGTGTATTAAAAAAAAAAAAAAAAAAGGAAAAATCTGAAAGCGCCGAGCAACAATAAGGGTTAATGGTTTCGGCGTGAGACACAATCGCAATACGACCTATGCGCCCCAACGCACTTAGTTTAATTTCTGCAATTTGTATTCCGAATACGTTGTTTTACTCACGTGAACAATTAATGGCTGTGCACTGGATTTTCGGTACGCTGCAAAAATGTGGTCACAAGCCCCGACACATTCCGCTTGTTTACCGAAATGACAAAAAACAGAAATATTAACCCAAAACGCTCAATCTTAATTAGATCCCCAAAAAAATACGACTTAAAGGATTTCACAAAAAGATTAGCGTTGTCGTTTCGCTGAAATATAACAAAACCAATACGCTTCGATGGGGTATTTACAACAACCTCGCATAGATCAAAGGGTCATTATTAGATATCCTAAAATTATCGGCCTAATTTCGTTTTACGTGCGCCCAAGTACTCCATCTGCCCTGATAACCCTTTAAAAACTACCATTAACCCTTTGCGCACACACACACATACACACCCTCATTTCCGATCTTTTATATTCAAATGCTGGCCGCAGCAAAATGAATAGTATGTCACAATGACTTCCCCAGGATGCATGCAAAACCAGCGTAGTAGGCAAACGAATGTTGCGCTAAACATCTGCCGTTAATTGCAGCTAATGGAAAAAGCTCGTTCACAAGCATTAGAAAAAACTGTTTTTCAATAATCTGGACAATTTATTGTTATGTACGTTATTTCGATGTCGTTTATGAACTTAATTTATCCATCAAAACTCGCTTTAGCAAAACATAAGTAAAAAAATATTATAGCCATAAAATTTAATATCCTTTATAAAATATTTCGAGTGTAAAAGAGAACACTATTATCTGAATATTTAAAAAAAAAAATAGTACGTGTTATTGAATTTATCTTGGTTTCCTTTGGAACAATTCCCTTTGACTGGAGCTGAATAATTGACCTGTAAAAATCCACGATAAGACCAAAATTTTGTAAATATACATACACATTTAAACGATGCGAAGTATAAAAAATGATGTTCAAATTTACTATTTGTATATTTGAGTAAGTTTCAATTACTAAAATTTAAATACAATTATTCGTAAAGCAAGCAAACATAATTTCTTTAAAGCAAGTTGGAATTCAACGATGATGGGATTAGTAAGCAAAACCGTGTGTTATTTTGAGTAAATCTGGTTAAGTATAACATTTTCTCTGCCGCGCATACGTTTGAATTATAATATAATCTGTATAGTACTTATGAAAAGTCATAAGATTATCACATTATGCGTATGTTTGCATTTTGTTTGAAACAATTAGTTACTATCTAGCGCAGTCGTGAAATAATCTTCAAAAGTATTAAACTTTACTAAAATGTGTCCTTCACGAGCAGATATTCTTACTTATGCGAGTATTCAAGGTACTTTCATCTTTAATGGGTAAAATAAATAATCTTTTACTTCTTTGTAAAAATGTTCGTTCTCTCGACTATTCAATGCTCTGTGATGTTTGTGATAACATATTATTATAATCAACACGTTGAATAATCGAACAAATGAACGACATTAGTAAAGGTAGCGTGTTCTTTAATTAAAAACATGAAGAGCGTATGTTCTACGAGTGTGTACTCCTACGAGAGAAAACGGGTATCCTTTATCCTTTTTAAAATACCCGAGGGTATAATATTAAAATAATTCGTTGGACTTTTAAACGATCTCGTTGTTTTTCCAGTTAAGTGACTTTTTTTTTTCGCGCGCGCGACAATAAACTAAATTAAAACGTGTGCGGATTTCAAAACTGAAAAAATAACCTCTTCTCGCTGCAGTGCTCTAGGTGCACTGTAATAAATCCATGTCTCATATCATGCCAGTCGGTATTTTCACGCATTACGTGGTCGTCGCTTAATTAAATTTAATGTCTCGCTCATGAAACATTTCCACCTCTATAGCTCCCGTTGATATCAATGGCTGTTGTAGTTTAATACCGTTTTATCGCCAAAATGTGCGCCCAAGTACAGCTTTAGGACTTTGTTCACACCGTTTTAATCAATATACGTCACATGTGCATACCATCGCTGCAACACAATGCGATATCAGCAAAAGCGCATCTAGCATGTGACATATAACGAATTAAATATCTCGAAAATAAAAAAATAAGTGTCACTTGTACATCAAAAACCAACCCTACACGTGTCGCTGGTCGTAAATATTAAACACTCCTCGACGGATGGCTCCAGACCCTCGAAAAGTGAATTTCACACGCCTTCTCTCATTCCGCACAAAGGGTCACTGCCCTGACGTATTTCGCCCAAACCCTTTGCTAGTTCGTAGAGAACCCGAACTCAGTATATCATTAATTCGAATCCATTCGGTATCACAAATACAACTATGTAAATGCCGTAAAAGTCAGCCGGATGTCGTTACTAATATATCTCAATCAAATAGCACAGTATGGAGCTTGTACCGAAGTCAATCGCCAAAAAACAGTAATAACTGATACGTGACTTCTTCTGCGGGAGTCAACCCGGTACGCGTTTAATTAATATTAATTCTCGCAGCGAATACTAATGAGAGTTAAAAAATAATAATAGAAAAATTCACCTTATCGTCGATTAATTTTCGCCATATCCATTGGCTGTACAGCGATCGTCGATCGTATTCAGCACTCAATAGAATTAGTAGTGACGATAAACTCGATTTGCCGTCATTTCATGTCATGATTTGCAATTTCAGTTATATACAGAGCGTTTACTTTTAAAACATGAGTACAATCTAGAATCTTGAAGTCTATACGCTGTCAGTATCTCTGACATTACACACTAATAAAACAGAGTTGTGTTAATACTCTATCATATAGAGTCGGTTGTCAAGGGGAAAAAAACCTATAGAAACTCTATAATTATAAAGATTTATTTTAAAAGTTTCGAATTCGATTAACAAGCTACATTATGTTTTCTGTTGTATCAGTGACATGAGAGGACAGCGCGGACTTATTCTCCGCCCTGGAAACTTTTGTTTTAATCGATTGTCTGTGGTCTGCTAGCCTTGTAGAGACTATTGACGCCACACTTATTGGCTTTGCCGTCAACAAATGTTGTTCCGTATGATCTAAAACGTGACAATAGACTTCTATAATTCAAAACGTGTGAACAATAAAACTTACCAATGATTCGGTTGGAAACCGCCGACCCGATGATATTAAAAAATAAATATATATTTAAAAACAATAGCAACATCTAGCGACACCTTTGTTACTCGTGTGCCAAACGACGCACCGTCGGGTACAAAGTGTTTAATGTAAACACAATGGCACGTGCAACGTATGTGTGTTTATGATATTGCAATCAGCATGCAGTAATCCCATCTGTATAATTACATCCGGCGATCCGGATTAACTATTTGATGAGGTTATAAAATACCCTCGAGTATATGATAGTGTGCGATGCAAGCAGCGAAACGAGTGGTGCGAGTGAGACGGAGAGACGTTAATGAATACGTTGATGAGGGTTGGAAATATTTTGCGGCCTTTTGCCCGGCCGGTCGGTCATTTGGTCGGCTGTGTTATTAACCTGTTTCTGTATGCACGCGCCGTTGGTTGTGAAACATTTTAATATGAATCGCACTGATCCTCCTGTTGTAGCCACGTCGGAAATCCGATTATTTTCCCAATGCCCATCCAGGATGTTTGTTTTTTATCAAATTGTATTCGAAACGCTTCACAATCGGTCATCTCGGTTTTGCCGAAAACAAATTTTGAAACACACAAGTCATTCTACTCAAACGTGCGGTTTCATTCCCATTGCACACAGTGTCGCTGATGTCAATTTTTTATGAGTGTTGCATGACAAAAAATGACCCAATAACGCGCCACGCCTTTAAATTTTTTTACATTTTTTTGCGCTTTACTTATTATTAAAGTATCATTTCCGCGAAAATACGGACATTTATTAGGAATAGCGTGTCCACAAAATATACCACACACCAAGTATGGCGACCGTATTAGATGCGTATAAGGATCGACGCCACTGGTGGTTACCTAGGCTCTAAAACCTAGATAAATATAAAAAATAAACAAAATTGTTTCCGTGTTACTTCCTGTGTTGTCACCATCAATTATTGTTTTAGACTAATTATGTTCAAACAATATCGTTATTTCGTTTTTTTTTTTTTTTCAAATAGTTTTTAATTACAATAATACTAATAATAATAATTACTCAAAACGCTTACAATGTTTACTTAAACTATATCCGTCCATCGACGAGGGACCTTAATCATGTGTTGCATGCCATGTTTTCTCATTAAGAAACTTGGGTCTTTAACTAAACAACCACCCAGATAGCAACTATAAAAAATGTTATAAAAACATTTTTATTAGTACATATTTAATTGATTTTTTATGTAAAATCATTTAAACGTCAAAACCCCACAAATTTCAAAAATTAAATTTGTTCTAAAATTACAGTAAAATTGTGCGTTTATTTATTTGAACATTTTCTTATGTTTCAGACGGCGAATACAGTGACAACGTAGCTGAAGAAGGTAAGGACAACTAAATGTATTAAACCGTTAATAAAAATACGAAAACGATTTTGTTAAGTAAGATAAATTAACTTATCTCTGCAGGGTAGTATAGTTGAAAAGAAATTATCTGGCGCCGGTTGCCAGTCTATTTTTGAAGGATAACTCGAGATAATACTGCTTCGTGTGCCATTACACGGTATAATAGTACTTCAATTGAGCTAATGATGATCGATCTGTTGAAATTTCTGAAAAGGAAAATAAACGACCGTTTTTTTTCTGACTTATGCGAAAATATTTTGTCGAAGTTTTTTTAACGAATTTTTTGCTCCCCATTGATATTTTATTACTTCAATTAAATAAAGTTTTAATTTAAATGGGCACCGTAAAAAATATAGTTTTTTTTATATTAGTCACTTTTAAATAATTTATTTAAAACAATCATACTTGCTTTATTTTTACGCGTCAAGTATTAAAACCAAGGCAGGAGAAACAAAAGACTATTCGGTTTAAAGCCAAAATGCGTACCAGGTGTTACTTGAGCAACGTGGAAGCGAACAAACGACGGAGGATTAAAAACTGGGCGATATCACGTCGAGAAACGTACAGCCGGTCGTTTTTGCATAATTCATCATAAAGTTTTTGACGCTCAACTTTGTGAAACGATAATCGCAGTTGAAATTTACTCTAATACGTTTGCGATTATCCCTTTGAACAACGCTAAATGTGCGTATCTATCGCGTAGATGCGTACCGACTAACAAAACGTCGTATCAAACAATTTGAATTGTATTTGCATAATTGGTATTCAAAATAAATCACACAACACCGTACTGCACTGGAAATGCGTGTGTGTGTAAACTTTACGAATGAGGGGAGGTTCTGTACGATTTATGAGTTTCAAAAGATTTTTATCATTGACCAGCGGCCAATTAAAGCAAATGGGTTATAGGCGGCTAAACGTTGACCGCCATTAGTGCGAATTCCCTGTGCAATGCGGCGACTCTCTGGTACTGATGTCTCGGCCCTCGTGTAAAACGTTCATTGTATCCAAAAGCATAAATTAACTACGACCACACGCTGATGTGCAATAATTACCGGCTGACTCTCCGTGTACATCGATTGGGCTGAACGCTATTTCGTTTTTGATGGGCAACGGTGTGCCGTAAACAGAGGTATAGAACAAAGGATGTTGAACAGAAACTATAACGATATATCCGGAAGTTTAAACGAATTGAGTGAAATTTGACAAAAAGCCTCTAACCACTTGTTTGACTCTAATAATTGAATGTACGCATCCGGTTTAACGTCGTTATTCTTGATGACACATTAATTTTTTATTTTTTCATACGTTTGTAGTAGGTGAATTTCATTGAATAACTGAAAACTATTTACTATTTTATTTCATATATAACCCTAATAGATATTTTTATTTTCGTTTTTAAAAAAACAGCCTATAATAAAGTATAAATAAATTATAATTAATAAATGCAATTATAATTTACTTATTATTTCAATAATATATAAATGTAAATAACAAATAAACTCGTAACTAATATTATGTAAACTTTGAATATAAAAATGAAAATAAATTATGCTCAATGTAACCATGATCAAGCGAGTCCATCCATTTTTTCTATATGATTTAGATGATGTATTTTACCCGTGTAGATAACTATCATATTGCTATTACAACGTTATTAATAAATTATACATGGATTTTTTTAAAAATTATTTTCCTCGCCACGATGGGTCATTTAAAAACAATTTGCTAGTGGAAACAGTAGGTGTTCCCAAGGGATTGTCAACTATTATTACTGCCCGGGCCCTGAGGGACACAGGGTGACGTACAAGACAAATGACCCGAGGGTTTTTGGTGCGTAAATGAATTTGAATTGAAACAATAGCATGGCAGTAATTCAAAACTGGTTGGGACCAAGTGTGGGGTGTCTGTGGAAGGTTCGTGTTATTGCGGTTTCCTCCAACGGTTAAAGTATATAGGCGATGACTTCGTGTGAGCAAAGAGAAAGGGTAGTAGCATCAATTCCGGCTTTTTGTGTGTTTAATGCTCCGAGAACAACAGTATCTACGCCTCCAAGCGCTGTGTGGCAGTTGGCAAAGGAGATTTAGCTCTCGAGTGCGTTAGACCACTTACAGTGTCCTGTGGTTTAATATCTATTGTTAATTTTATCACCAGCTCACTTACACACGTGCTGTTACTTCAAACGTCAAGCTATGGCCATAATCTTTCATTCAATTATTGCTTGCAAGCGAATATGATTAATTACAATTTTAATTTGTGTTTGAATATTATTCTATTGACGCAAAACATAAATAAATTATCTTAGTTTTCAAAGGGCAAATTGTTGTAGGTTTAAGTACACTTTTAGTTTTATTCCGTGAATCTGCAAAATAGCTTATTTAAAGTATATTTTTAAAGGATTCCTGTGAGGGTAACCGCGTTTTAGACACATGGGGAGAAAATCTTTACCGAGGGTCGTTTTCAATCCCCATTTAAGTGCTAATGGCTCGTTGAATACCCTGTTAGAGGAACTCTAGATCAGTTAGACGAAAGATGAATTATACTGCAGGTAAAGTCGAGTATCTCTGACAACGGTCATGGTTAGCAACAAACATGATCGATCGTTATGGTCATTTGAACGAACGATCGTCCTTTTGTATTTTGTATACAGTATACAGTATGCTGAGTTTTATTGACTATATTCAACGAGTAACGTTTCGGTGATTTTCTATTAATTTTTTACGTGTAATTAACAATTTAAAAATATTATAACTCGCACCAAGTTTTTTTCTCAACTGCTCTTATTGTTGTATGCATTGTTGAAGTCAATCTAATTTTAATCACATCAGACTTCACTATGTACTATTGTTTTCAGTTAAACGTCCGATATAAAGTATTACACGTTTACAGGGTCCAGAAATGTACGTTTAGAAGTCTTTTACAAATTTTATACTACCCGTTAGTTAAATCGGCTGGAAAACTAAAGTCCAATCTATAGACGTGCTGCTGTCCCTCTTTGGGCTTTTACGGTTTTATTGCCAAAAGAAATATATGTTACGACTACATCCTAACCCCTGAACCAACCAGTATATCTTAGCGCTCACAAAACGCCTTTTCACGAAGTACTATTCCTTTTTTATGTCTATTCTAACTTTACTTTAAAGTAAAACTTGTTTCAACAAATACAGCTGTCTAACATATTGCCAACTGAAATTTACCGCGTTTCCTTTTTTCGCAGTAATTGATGGTCGCTGGTCTGCGTGGACTCCTTGGTCTCCGTGCGGCCCTGATTGTCGTCATCACCGAACAAGGACGTGTACATCTCCTAGCCCCGCAAACGGCGGAAGATATTGTGTTGGTAGAGACACAATGTCAGGAAACTGTTCAGGTGGATCTTGCATAGGTAAGTTTGTTGAATTTAAACAAGATTTTTTTTCAACACTATCGTTAGAACAAAAATTAAGTATTGTAAAATAGGATCGTAAAATGTTTTATCTTTATTGGCTTTTAACTCGTTTCAGGTGGCAGAGATGACCCTGTAAATTATGACGATGAGCAACTCACGGAGGAAGGTATGTATATATTTTTTCGCTATATTTTATAAGTACAGCATAACGTTTTTATAGCATTTTTATTTGTCATATTGCAAATATGTATCGCCTATTTAAGATTTTCGGATAGATAAACTCAAACACAACTAACTATAACGCACATGAGTCGTAAATTATACAACGATTGCGCATAAAAATACGTTAAAAATATATAATGACAGGTTTTATTATACTAATCCAACGGGCAGCTTCTTTTTTTTGCAAGAATCTGTTAAAATTGCACTGCTACTTAAAACTAGAGTCATAATTTATAAATTATGTTTTTAAGTTTCCAGATCATAATAAATAATTTTAAAGTGGTACTGATACTGTGTTACCTTTTTATTCATCTCTTATGTATTTCTGAAATGAATAGTGTTGATATTTCCCGTGAATATTCCCGTGTACTGGATAATATTAATAATACATTTATTCCGATCAAGGGGATAGTTTCCGAAAGTTAAACATCTACAACGATTGAATTTTCCGAGAAAAGGGTAGCAATGATTGAATCTTTTAAGTATATTACCGCGCATGCATAGAGCAATTCAATTATTTCAACAGGAAATTAAAATCACCCAACGCTAAAAAAGGGATAGATAGAAAAATGATATATATTCGTTGAATTTTCATTTTCAAGGATTCCGAGTATGGGCTATTTGTATATAAATAACGTATTTTTAAAAAATTATCAATATATTATCCAAAAAGAGTTCTTTTAGAGTTATTTAAAAATCCTAATCTACATGTATATGCATATCAAACGATCATTTAAAAACCGTGAGCTCATCTCCACAAGCATACACATTCGTGTGCAAATAAACGTTTCGGTTTTTTTTTTTTTTAAATTCATATATTTGATACGCCTTTTTATGTCTTTAAAGGAACAAAATCGCGTCATCAAAATGACAAACGACCATCGGGCATTGTTCGGTGACACAAATGGCCAGTGTTCTTAAAAACCGTTTGTTGAAAATTATCCGGAAATTACGAGAAAAAGCTCAACTATAGAGTTCATTCCGCGTGTAATGTGTACTCCCGTTTATCATTTTCACTTTTTTTTCTTTTTTTTTTTTTTTGATGCACTAATACATCATCTTCACTTTGTTTTTCCTGCGTCAAATACTAACTGATAGCATTTGCGAAGTCAGTATTTTATTGATGGGGTGCTTGGGTCCCTCAGTATATATATATGTATGTATTTAAAGTTCTTCGTTTAATGGTCGTATAAAACGCAACCCCATTTCACCAGAATGTGTCATACTCTATAAAATATGAAGTATGGAAACGTCTTTAAAGTACAGCGGATGTGCCGGTATGTGCTTGTGGAAATGTTGGCGAGGGACTGTTGAAATGCATGCGAATACTGAGTAGTTCTTCGTCAGTGCAGACGATGGAGTTTCCGGCGATGTGACGTTCGGACAAATTGTCGTAGTAACGACCTCGACATGTAACTCTCGACCCCTTAACTTGGCCGTGAACAAAAGAAAGTGTACGGGAGATGATGAGACAATACCGGAAGGAACAAGTTTATCCGCGACGAGTGAGAGTTGTAACGAAAATAATTGCCGTGCTCCGGTTTTAACTGGGGTGGACTACAGAGTGTAAAATGATGACGATACGCTAAGAAAACATTAGTCATACATCCACAGACTATCATTACCATATGTACACCACTGATAACACTAGGCACTAAAAACAACTAATTTTCAATGAACGCAACACTGTGCAAGATTATTAATTTGAGTGACCTCGTTAAACCTTGTATTGGATAATTATATGCTCGTAAATAAGATACAAGATGATCGTTAAAGTATACTACGGGAAACTCGAAGTTTTCTATATGGCTTTTTCTCGAGTTGTACGACGGACAGTGTTGCGGCGCCATATTGGTGACGGGTGAAATGAAAACAAACATAGCCGTTTCACTATCGGATACTTATTATATGTAATAAACCAACCCTAAACTCTATATCGTTAACGACATAATACTTAATACAGTTAAAGTAAATTTGAAATTGTAACTAAAGAATAACATTTATTAGTTGTACTAACAAACTGTTTTTTTTTTTTACTAAGGTCACGTTTACTTTAATCACAATAATTTATTATCGTTAAAAAAATGAAAAGATATTATTCAATGTACTTTTTTATGTCAAAATAATGACATTTCAATAATTATGAATTGAACTAAGTATCAAACAAAGTACAACGTTTAACCATTAATCCAATCTGTCCTTAAATGGCTATTATTAAAACGGTATACAGTAATACTGCATTCACTAAAATTCTAACTTAAAGTTTGCTGAACATTCATTCTAATTTTTTTTAAGATCTATTAATTTTACATCTCTCAAAACTTTTATATAATTAAAAATACAACACATGTCAATTATTCTGCTACATTTAACATTGTTTATTTAAAAAAATAGTTCAGATAATTGTATACATATCTATGGCTTCTAAAATTTATACATTTCTACGGTTTCTTAAAATTTATAAATTTATATGGCTTCTCAATGTCTACTAATTTCTATGGATTCTCAATGTTTATGCATTTTTATGGCTTCTTATATTTATAAATTTCTATGGCTTCTTAAAATTTATACATTTTTATGGCTTCTTATATTTATAAATTTCTATGGCTTCTTAAAATTTATACATTTTTATGGCTTCTTAAAAATTATACATTTTTATGGTTTCCTAAAATTTGTACATTTCTATGGCTTCTTAAAATGTAAACATTTCTATGGCTTCATAAAATTTAAATATTTTTGTGGCTTTTCAATGGTTACGCATTTTTGTGGCTTCTTAAAATTTATGCATTTCTATGGGTTTTTTAGTTTTTAACGTCAGTCAAAACATCAACGATTTTTTAATGATAGTTTACAAAATAAATAATTTTCAACTTATAGTGTTCTCCTGAAAAGTTTTAAAATTCGCATTAGGACATTGTCTAAGATGACTAAGTAAACGCTATAAAAGGAAGAAGTACACTTAATTATATGAACTAATGTTTTTTGGATGAAAGTAAGCATTGTATAATTGCTTCTAGTAATGATCATCGAAAATTCGAGCGTTTTTGGGAACATTATATATATATGTAAGAAAATAATCTAAGAATCATAAACGTGATTCTTAAACATGAAAATATTCAATATTTAAATATTCAAATAATTAAACATAAACATGAAAAGATTCACATAAAAGTGTACATGAATTCTAGTTCCGTCAAAAAATGTTCACTAGTCGGAGCTAATCTTAATGAAATAGTTTCGTCAGATATAAATAGAATTATTCAAGATAAAAGGTCTTTCATTAAAGACAATCCAAAGAAAGGAAGCTGCTTTTCTGAAGATACTATGGATGACCCTCCAGTATATCATTCCTTTTACATCGAATTTGCTCTGCTTGATTGGCCGCCCGATATAATTGAACACCGCGCGCTTTTGACTTCTGACAGTTAGTTTTAATCTTTTAAGAAAGAACCACCACGTCCTTTTATCCTCTTCCTCAAACTATCATCGCACGATAGTCTTAATTAAACTTTTAAACCTTCTGCGTTCACTCAAATTGAAAACATTCTGGATCGAATTCCTAGACATTCTCGTATACTAAATTCTATCGAATACTTCAGTCAGATTTCAGACGGACATTGTAAAGTTTTTGTGATTCTAATGGTCTTTGTGCTCGATTCTCACACGCATCACTACAATATTACATGTATTGAGGTTTACGACTGTAAACTCAGTTGGGATGAGATTTTATTGGTTGAATCGACTATAAAAACCTTAGCCAAGAAACACTAAAAACCGCTTTGTTTTTGGTCTCAATGCGAACTAATCCTTTAATTGAACTGAACTAGTCTAAACTTAATTGAATTCCAGGCGAAATTTACTCTTTGTATTTTTCGATTACAACTATCAAATATCTCTTTTACATTTTATAATTTTTTACCACAAACGTTTTTTTTATATTTTGTATTACAAATACATAAAACTGCTTTATTTATAAATTTGATTTCATAAAAAAAATAACCCTCATTCTCTTAATATTTAAATGATTTTAATCTGATTTACTAAATACAATAAATTATAATCTACACAATTTTTTATGTAATCTTTTTGTATGATTAAACAAAAATTGTTTGTACCCAAATTTATTTTATCAACAATGCTCAGCAAATTAATTGGACTCAATCTTAGATAAAATCCATTCCATTTTTATTATCAAGAATAATGTTCATCATTAGTATCATAATACAGATCATACTTCAGTTCTAAATCATAAATCGCCATTAATTCTTAATTTAAATTCTAAACCTAACGTGTTACTTTTAATTCGTTTGAATAATTTATTTTCACAGTCTGCTTGCAATCTCTGTACTCCCTAAATAATTGTCAAACAATTACATTACATATCTGAATCCAACAGATTAAATTTCGAAATGATTTACAAAACTTGTATAATACTCTATTGACAGTATAATATTTTATACATTAAGTATAGTGGTAAATTCTACAAAATATAAAGTAAAAAGTACAAAGTTATTACTGATTCTATGGTGTAGGTATTTTGTGAAAAAAAATTTTAAAGGTGTATTTTTGTTAATAAAAAAATTAATTTTTTAATTAACATTGTTTGGTTGATCCATTGTTTGTATGTTAGTCTAATTTTATCTATTTGAGTAAGTAAGTAATTATAACTATTTGTGAGATTGTTATTTGAAAATTTTTCAATAGATTATATTTTTAAAAATTTTGATTAGTTCATTTTCATTTGATTTATAAAAAACAAAATACATTGAAAGTTATGTATAAATATAGTCTTATCTATAACTATGGTTAAATATATTTATAGTACCAGACCTATTTTCTTCTTTAAGTATTCATGTTACTCAACTACTATGTATTCAGTATTAACTTATAAGAAGAGACTATTCTCTTATAGTATTATTGGCACTATTAAAAAGGTGTCAACATTAACATGAATATAAAACCTAAGTAGGTTTCCTACTCTGTGTTAGTAATTTCTTCGGAATTCAACCAAGTGCAAGAATTAAAAATTGAGATCAAAAGGTAAAGCAAAAAAGAAGGCGTTTACGCCAAAGGTGTATGCAGTTCGTGTTCGAGAGCAGTTAAGTCCGATAAAATCAATTCACGCGAACACAACTGTTCGCTGACAAAGTTTGATTAACCGTCTTGGATCACGTGAGAAACTTGTACGCAATAGTGTTCGTCCATTGGTTTTATTGGTTTCTAGCACTTTTGTACGTGGGATTTTAAAAAATTTACCCCACTGTATTTTAAAAGCGTTAATTCCTTTGTCGTGACCGATTACATTCCGCACGAACATAGTGAGAATTACACCCAACGTGACAAACGGGATAAATTTAATTATATTCCAATACATTATCATCGTGTTAAAAAACTATTAGATCCATGCGACGCGACCTAAGGTATTTTGACAAATATTGACATATAAATTCAACAAAACTTTAGATTATTTCTTGTCTAGATTGATATAAATTGAATACATTTTTATTTAACAATTTAAATCGATTTATTTAACGTAAACGCCCCATAAACACTAATTTTATTTGTTTTTTTTTTTTTAGCTGCAACCAGATCGGTTGTGGAAACCGATGTCGCACTGTACGTGGCTTTGATAGCCGCTTCTGTATTGTTAGCCGGCATGGTCTTACTATTTCGATTGTATAAAAACAAAGGACGAGACCATAGCATGTACAACATGGCCAACTCAGGTAAGACACTGTATATTATCTTCCTGGTTATATCTAAATAATCATCGTAATTGATCAACACAGGGAAATAAAATAAAACTGTAAAAACTTAATTAATTTGTTTTCAATGTGTCACGAACGTTACGTGCTTTGAGTTGCAACAAATACTTAATCGCGCTGTGATTGTGGTAATAATTCATCGATGAGAACATTAATCACTGCGAACAGAATGACAGTAACGATGTCGAACAGCACAAAACAGTTGGAATGTTTTAGCAAAAAAAAATCATTTTTACTCTTGATTTCGTAATAATATTCAGAACTCATTCCTCTCGAAAATAATAAAAATAAATTATTACTTAACAATAAGGAAAAAATGAAACCATTAAAAATACAATGCTGTCCGGTCACTATAAATTTAAGACTTCATTTAAATGTCAATCGACTTTATTTGAGCTCTAACAAACGAACGATGCCAATGTTTTAAGGGATCCCATTGTTACTCTCGTTATAGTGTTTGTATAATTTTGACGTTTCTGCTCGACTAAGCTTGACATTATGCAGACTTTTGCGACAAAGACAATAGAATCTTTTTTTTTTTTAATAAAATGAAAATTGACGCAAAATATCAACTGTGTTGATTTATTTCTACTGTAAATCGTAATGTAATAATAAATTCTCGTCTTTCAGAATTTCAACCAGAATTTTTTCCCGATCAAGAAAAGAAATCCTATTCTTTGGAATGTCATTCTCGTAGCGGCGGCTGTAATCATTTTCATCAGGCTCAACCCGATCTAACCAGGACCGTGGTTGTTGTACCATCATGTTATGAATATCCATTCACCAACGACCAGAATGCGTATAGTCTCACCCGGTCCTGTTCAGAACACCACTATGACGTACCACATCATAACGGTGGGTCGACTATTACAACAGCCATAGTCGCACCGCCCGTTCCTTCAGTGGCTCCCGATAGCCCCAACGCACTCTCTTCTAGCCCTGAGTCAACTCATAGTCTGACGAGTTACACTTGTTCAAGTGAGTTCATAAAAATACCATAGCGAATTGCCTTACCGCTCTATAAATACAAACGAAATAATTGTCTTTTTTTTCCTTGCAGGTAAATCTCAATCCGATTCGAGTGGGGGGGCTTGTCATTGTAAGGATTACTTATGGATGAAAGAAACAACCGCGACTTCAGCTGGTTGCAGGCTGGAAGGCAAAGAGTACGGAATTTCGATGACTATTCCTGAAGGTGCCGTTTCCAAAAATCAGAAAGAATCGGTATTATTTGCATTACTGCAAGATGAATATAAACCTTTGCTTATGAGTAAGAATACATATTATATAGTAGCAGTTTTTATAAATACATAAATTAATTTTTTAACTCCGGTTATTGACTTTTTTTAGATGGTCAAACTCAATTGAGTCCAGCAGTGATATGTGGTCCAAATGGCAAGAACTTTAAAAAACCAATAATTATTGGAATGCATCATTGTGCCAGCCTTCAGCAAGGACCTTGGGTAGTTTCAGTTTTAGGATGCGACACACCCATTGGTAATAAACCTAAATGGAAGGTAAGTCTCTTTATAAAGAATAATGAACAATTTTTATGAATGTTAAAATATTTTTATCTACAGAAAATTCTTACTCTTGGCGAGGAAACAATAAACACGTCCGTGTTTGTACAAATGGATGCTACCCAAGTGTTCATAATGAGCGAATCATTATCTATGTTCGTTTTGGTAGGCGAACCGGACATGTCTATTGCTAACAACCCTCCAGCAAAAATGCTAAAATTAGCTTTGTTTGGATCTTTAAACAGAAAGTTCAAATATGATATCAGGGTTCATGTCGTCGAAGACAATGGAGTTGCTCTTGAGGTATAAAACTAATTCGATCGTACTTTTTATGTACTGTAAGCTGAAATGAAAAAATGTATCGAGCATTATTTTATTACAGAGATTAAAACAACAAGAGCGAAGTACAAGTGGTGGGGTTTTGTTAGACAAACCAAAAGCATTATGCTTCCAAAGTGGTGGTGGTAATTTAGTCATTACCATGGATGATATAGGCACGAACTGGAAGAGTAAACCTCAAGATAACTATAAAGTAAATATACAATTCTAAAGCGAAACATTACATGTATAAATTTGTTCCATATTTCTCCGTAACATTTTAATCAAATTGTTTCTTATCTAGCGTTATGATTAAAAATCTCGTTCTAATTTATACGTCCATTTCCTAGGAAATTTCTTATTCGAATTTATGGAACTCGAACGCAATAGTCTTATTTACCTTAGAGCCTTTTGAACAACATTACCCAGATTCATGGGTAAATGTATCGTGCAGAATATGTATATCGCAGACGTCGGCTACGGGTTCTCTGCGAAATACCAAACACACGTTTAAAGTTAACCAAGACCCTAACAGCTTGTCTTCGATTGGTCACCAGTCTAGACAACCACGAACAGTTACCAGCACAAGTGGAAGCGGATCTAGCGTTACTTCCTGCGAAACCACAACTTTTAGGTCAGTGACTTGATGTTAATTATAATGATTACTTTTTTTCCAATTAACAAAATATTGTGTTTGTACGTGTGTACTAACTGTACTGTTACTTTAGATTTAGTAAAACTTTACGTAAGCAACTCTGTCAATGTTTAGATCCACCAAATGCTAGGAGCAACGATTGGAGAATGTTGGCCCAAAGACTTAACATGGACCGGTAAGTTAATACTTATTTCAAATTGTACACTTCAATAATTAATTTAATTCAATTTACTTACCTAATTAAAAAACTTGAACTAAGATGTGTGTATTTTTTTACAGCTACATAAATTATTTCGCCGTTAAGCCCAGTCCAACGGATCAAATTTTGGATCTCTGGGAAGCCAGACACAGAGAACCAACATCCGTCACAGACCTTTTAAACGTGTTAAGGCTCATGGGCCGCACAGATGCGGCGGCACTATTGGAACGCGATCTTGGCCCATGGCTATAGTTAATGAAAATACGGTACCATAAACTTCAACACGCCACAAGTTCCTACCATATATATTTTTGTAATAGCTTTACAACGCGTTTGTTATGATGTCCGAGTTTCTTTTTAAACATTTAACGATAGGTATTTCTTAGTTATTGACAATCAAAATTAATTTATTCTATACCTAAAAGGTTTCCAAAAAAAATATTTAGTATTCATTTTTTGTTTGGTTTTAAATTTTAATTTTACAACTCCCGGATGATAAAAGTATATATTTAGTGATAGATAATCTGTGATAAATCATTTGGGAAACGCGAAAATAATATAATATTTGTAACTTAAAATTGTAAAAAAACCTAAAATCTTTAGACAATGAAATATATTTTTTTTTACCTAATTATATGTTGTTTTTTCTATTTATTTGTTTTCGATAATCGTAACCAACTGTTGTAAATTAACCAGATTGATTTATTAAAAACTGTATATTCAATTATTATGTATAATAATATAATAAATGAAAAGAAAGACTATTATTATTGTATAAAATATTATTATTATGTTATAATTATTATTTAATTTGTATATAAGTAAACTGATATACTCTTAAGCCATTGTAAAATGTTAATGACTGTCTCTATGTATTATTTATTTTAATTTTTAAGTATTTTTACATAAATATATTTTTTTTTTACAAGTTATCACGCATAAGATAAATAATAAATGCATTTAACTTATGTGTAACATAACCTAAGATAGTATACTATGGTTTAATGTTTGTTTTATTAAAAATTATAAAAGAAACACTGTAGATTTAACAAACCAAGCCAATATTTTAGTTGATTTTTTTTCTTTACTTAATTATGTACTAATTCAAGTGTTTAATATACACAATGTCACATTTATCACTAGTTTTTTTATTTGAAATTTATTGGTTAGCAATAGTTCTAATGCTTCTATCATTATTAACCATATGTTTAATTAGGAAAAACAAGAGTCTTTTGAACAATTTTTACAGATAACAATTTTTTTTTAATTTTAACATAATTTTACCTAATCTGTTTAAGTATTTTTGTGTCAACATTAACANATAATTTTACCTAATCTGTTTAAGTATTTTTTTTTTAGTCTTCCCCACAAAGTTTAAGAACCGATGATCATTAAAATTATAAATATTTTGACTCATAATTAGTAATATCAATAACATATGAAATAAAATATTAATATTAATATAAAATAAATAAAAATTACAATTAAAAATTTAAAAATAACTCGTTTGAAAAGATTAAAATATTACAAATGTTACTAAGATTGTCAAAACTCATTAATGTTCACTTATGAAACTTTTTATATTAAATAAATTAAAAAGGAAACATCCATTAAGTTATGTTCAACTAAATATATATATATTTTTTTTTTAATGAAAACTATATACATAAAATATCACCATATATAAAAATAACAAATATTCCATTAAATAATTTCAATTAATTATCACAGGTAGTATATCCTTTTCATAATGAAAGCATTCTGGACATTCAAATTTGTCATCTACCAACCTCATAGACTGGAAAAGTAATTAAAGAAATATAAAAATTATATAAGAAAAATTATAAAAAAACATTTTAAATACATACATTAATACAATAAAAACAAAAAACATGAGAACATTTTATATGATGTGGTATAATTGGTTTATCTTGACATATAGAGCATACTGTTCTAGCATTCAAAATGGGTGTTTTTTCAATATATTTGGTACTGTCTTTAGACTGTGAATAAATTATTCTACCTACTTTATGCTTCATTGATTGGTAATTAATCAAAGGTAATGTAAACAAAAGAAGTTCCTGAAATTTTCAAGCAATACAAAATAAATATTATAGTACAATACAGTAGTATAATATCACATACATTACCACTCATTATGATAACGATAACATAGAAACTTATAACAAAATTAATTAAATACAATATCTTTAACAAAAAAAAATAAAATATTGAGTTTATCCACAAGCTCTAATAATAATATAATACATAATGTTTGTAAGTAAAAAACTTATTAAAAGTCAAAATTAAAATTTTTAGCAAGTACTGTCAAATAAAGGTTTGAAAAGAATACCTAAAATATAGCCTACATGTCAACTATTTGTTTTGATTATTTAGTATAGTAATGAATATTCAAAGAGCATAGAAATAACATATTATTATTTTAAGCATAATTTTTAAATAATATTAAAACTTTAACTGATAACTTGGCAATTAAATAAAAATAATTGTAAGAGTTTGTCTACAAATATTTTAGTATATGATGATATTATTATACATTTGTATTACTTTAAAACAAGTAATACAAATATAATAATAAAATTCTAAGGAGTAGCAAAACAAACTTTTCATTAAGTTTAACTAAAATAAAAAAAAGTATTTGCAATAAAAGCATTTTATTTAGCTATAACAAAATTAAAATAATACTGGTTATTTGTTTTTTTACAAAAAATACTGCAAGGTTTAGAGTTAATAAATTTGTAGAAATTCATTCTATTTTAAATTGACGCAATCATAGAATAATTACAAAAAAAATAATAGTTTTAAATTTTGATAAAAATTAAATATATATATATATAGGAAATATAACAGGCAACCACAGGAACAGAGCAGACACAATACTATTATTTAAACACACACAAAAGCCCTGTTAAATAATCACAAACAAAAATAACATATATAAAATAAAATACACATATGAATTAAAATGCACATAATAACACATCTTAGCTGACTCACGACGGACTTATGACATAATTTAATTTTTCCTTCTTATAATACTATATGATACCACTATCTGCCTCCAGACCCTGGAAATGGTGCCATCTAGACACCAATGATACCCACATATATACAGGGTGTTCAGTAAGTCAGGAAACGGGTTTCTATTGTTCTCATTGTTACAAACAATGAGAACAATAGAAACCCGTTTCCTGACTTACTGAACACCCTGTATANGAACAATAGAAACCCGTTTCCTGACTTACTGAACATCCTGTATATAGAGTATTCAGTAAGTAAGGAAAAAGGTTTCTATTATTCTCATTATTTGTAACAATTGACCTGTTTCCTTACTTACTGAATACCCTGTATAAATATATTATTAAAACCCTCCAAATCCTCCAACATGTAACAATGCTTGTCTAGCTCAATTACTGGTTTATAAAAAAATTTTAAATGCTTCAACAAATACATTTTTTTTTTTGCAATTTTTTTATGTGATTACATCCAGATTTTAATTCAATGAATGAGAAAGCAAATATATTAATTTTTTATAAGAATATTCTAAACTCTGCAATAGCATATAAATATCAATTAAAATGGTATATATTATTAGTGTATCACTTGGTCAACACAGATTTTCCCATTCCAAAATTTATTATTTTACAAACAGAGTAGAACAAAACTAACCAAAAACTCTTATAAATTTAAATACAATTAAAATTTTTCTGTAATTTTTTTTAATAAGATTTGCATTCTGAGACTACATTAAAAGCACATTTAATGTCATATTTTTATTATTATTATTAAAAATAAATAATAATAAATATGATTTTAATGTGGTCTAAAAATTCAAAAATTGTTAAAATAAAAAAAAATTTTAATGTACCAAAAAATGTTAATTAGATGTGTTTTTCTCTGTAAATCTATTATGGGTTTTTAATTATAAAAATGTACTTAGTGAAATATTTTTTAATTCATCAAGAGAAAAATAGAACTACACTATACTTAAAAAATAACCCTTTCAAATAAATACATCCATAAGGACATGAATACTTAAATAACAAATAAGTTAGTTTAAATATAAATTATTTGACATAGAGAAAGTATATTTTTTTACATATTTTTCAATGATTTTAATAAAATATAAAATTATGTTTTCTTAATTTTTATTTGACATCAAGAACATATTTTAGCTATTATATGAGATCTCTATTAGTAAGTTTCAAAATGTACATAAAAAAACAAATAAAACACTAGAATGTTTTGGAAACTTTCTTATCAATATTACTTACAGAAAAGCCATGCCATAATAATTCTCGTGTCATATACTCATATCCAATTACTCTTCTTCGTGTTGATTCTTGAGATAAACCCAATAATCTTTGAGCAAGAATTGGATATTTTCCTTGGTGAAGAAATAATAAAAAATTTAAAAAAGAAAAAAATTTTAAAATACTACTAATATTTTCCAAATAACTAATCTAAAAGAATAAAAAAATTCTTTTAAGTTATTATAACACTTTCTTTTATTTTAATTAGTTCAATTATACTTACTTTATTGATAAAATTTTTTGAAGGATTATCCAATTTTGAAGAAATATAACTAGCTCCAATTGTAAAAAAATGCAACAAGACTATTTTCTTATTTGATAATTGATCAGAATTATATTTTACACCAAGAAGTTGTTGACCAAATGTCGCTTTTGAATTTTTTATTGAATACTAATGAGGTTACATCAATAAAAATTGATTAATATTTATTTAACTTTTAAAGTATATTATTAAGTTTATTTATATATTAATACATTGTATACATTTTAAGAATATATGATAGTACCACTGTACAAAAGGTGACCAGGTAATTTTACTCTTTTCTAATCTCAAATATTTTTTATAGTATTCAAAATCTTTAATTAATAAAAAAATTATAATACTATATTATTTAATTTAATAATTGAGTTATTCGATTACAGAGAAATATATCTCAAAAAAAAATTTTTTTTTCCTATGTAGCTGCTAATATATCAAAAAAAAAAAACATTTAAAAAACAATTATTTTGGACATACATATATTTGCAATTGGACAACTCAATTGAGCTACATTAAATCCAAAATTTTTAGTCATTAAATAGTTCTTACGTCAATTATTGTTACAAAAAATAAATTTGATGTGTGACTTTATTGCACTGCTTAAACTTGATCAATAATTAACAATAAACGGTCAATAACTATCCATATTCTCAAAATCATATAATAAAACATCACATTTTAATAAACTCTATGACTTACATATGATAAAAGAAGTTCTAACGAAGCATTGATTTCTGCATTTAGATTATTGATAATCCATGACTAAAACATAAGAAATACAAGATTTACCTAATAGAGTACACATACAGATCTATCTATAACTAAAAATTATAATAACTCAAAATTTAATAATACAATACTGACTATCGACATATCGAAATTTTAATTCATTCATTCTCCATTTAATGATAAAAAAATAATAATAGATTTCCATTTAAATTTTAAAAGTTATTTTTAAAATCTTCCATTAAGAATAATTTTTTCTTACAATAAACTTTATTAACAATGATTAATAAAAATCAAATAATAAAAAAAAATGTATAGATTAAATTTTAATTTATACATTTTTATGAAAAAATCATTATTTAATGAAAATTGAGGTGTAGTGTATTTAATAAATCACACTGTATATATTATTCTATTATATAATAATACATGACTACTATCAAAGGGAGCCAACTTAAGTTTATATTTAATTAATCAAATACTATTACAATAAATTGTGGGTTTATTATTTTTTAAATTCGACAGTTAACTTATTTTTAAATATAAAAAACTTACTGGAAAAAATCTCAGAGCTTTAAATGTTTGATCAATGAATACTTTAGTAATATGATCATCAAGTACTAGAGCATCTAACTATAAGAAAAAATATGTTAATATTTAAAAAAACACTTTAATTTCTAAATGACATACAATATATTGTTAAAAATATAAGCAATTAGAATATTATTGTAATCAGTGGCATAGCCAAGAAGAAGCTTAAGGTACTACATCCCCCTATTGAAAAATGTAAGACGCTGATAACATCATGTAATATACCAAAAAACAAAAAAAGTCCTTAGCTTCCCCAAGCAAAAATCGTAATTAAGCCATTGATTCTATTTAATCATATTTCATTTTAATTACCATGGTGACTCGAGGTACCATGATTTTGATACAATTAATTTAACTAATTCTAAGATACAAATTAAACGAAAGTTACATGTTAAGCTTAATGATTCTAAAATTATTACTACAGAACTTTTCACGGAATTTAAAGTGCGTTAAATTATGAACATACAGAAGTAAAGACATGTGTTATCAAAACAATATACTGATATCATTCTTTTTTTATCAAGTTGGATTAAATCCAACTTGGTAGAATAAATAAAAGGTAGATAAATTTATTATTTTTAACATATCTTATAAGTTGGGACCATGGTCTTAGATTATTGTCGTTGAAACTATAAAAATTTAATAATAAATAATTGTTATTTTTAATTCACAAAAAATTTCAAAATAGACATTTAAGGAGGTTTAAAAAAATATATCTTATATTGTTCAGTGGAAAATTATCTGCAGCGTTTTAAAGATTATGAAAATATGATAAATCATATACTCTTCTTACGATATCAAACAATGAAATTATGTATGGTGAAAAAGGCATAATAAAATTAATATTTTCACACTAATTATTTGTAATAGACTTAGATCTAAGATCCATGTAACAGTGTTGCCATTACGGCTGGCGTAAATCATGTAAAATTAAAATGTATCATGATTTTATGATTTAATCATTAACCTTTTTTAAATATTGTATTACAATACGAGTTACATATAATACAACAACCTTATAAAAGTGAATTTCGCATAAGCGTCTGAGAGGGAATTGTATTGTCTTTTGATAATTGTTATTATCAATCCATATTTTTCACACAACCCCAATATTAAAAATTAATCTAAATAGACAATAATTAACGTATATGTATATAATGTTTATTAAAATTAGACCGATCAAGCCTCCCTATTTGCTTTTATGACGTTTTTATTGAGCAATTAAAATATGATATCGATTGTTAACAATTTTAATAATGAAGTTTCGTATTTTACTTAAAGCATTAGTATACACAGTACCATTCTTTAGTTTCAAAGGTAACAATGTCTCGTGGTTATGTATATGTTCTTTTACGACATCAAGTGTTATATTGTCCATATCAATTTGCACACTCGTACAAATTTTAGCTAAGCAAATTAACAAAAATGTATAACTAATTAAAAGCATGTCGAAAAAAATGACAAAAAACTATGATTGAAAATCTAATATAGATATGCTGAAGAGAAAAAAATCATTACAACATAATTTTAGACATAGTTTTAACATATTTATAAAATCAAATAATCTGATGTTACATTTTTCTGCAAATAAAAATTCTAATTTAAAAGGTTAAAATGAAAATGTTGAAATAATATGATGATATAAAAAGATCAATAATAATATAGCCAAAATAAATTATAAACTGTAATAATACTACTTCACTTGCACTTGAATTTATAAATATTATTACCTATGAATATCTCCTTAAAAACACAAATAATATTTAAAAAAAAAAAAAACCCAGCACAGGGGGGTCGCGGCACAGTGGTGACGTGGCATAGTTGGATCAAGTATAATGATATCTGATAGTGATTAAAATCACTATCAAAAATAAACGCTTCGATGCAAATCTTTAGATAGTGTTTAATTTTAAAAAAATTAGTGTTTTATTCCAAAAGCTACTTGATCTGCTGGTTCCTTATTAATATCTCGATTAAGATAAAGTATGTCGAATGAAAAAGGGTTTATTAAAAAATATTATTTCTCATAAAAAAATTGTGTGGATCCATAAACTTTTCAATAAGTTATAGCATTATAAAGTTAAATATAATATAAATAATAAAATCGAAAATTTTCACACAAAAATAGCATTCGGTAGCCGTTTTCACCATGAAGACAAGTCCAGAGGTCAAATTTTTTTTTTTCAAATTAAAGTATATTACATTAGCTTTAATTTAAGATATATATAAAAGTGTCAGACCTTCCGGAACATTTTCAAAAGTTAAGTTGAAAAAGTTAATTTTTTGTGAAAAAGTTGTCTTTTTAAATCCCCCCCTGTGGGCAGATAAAGGGTCAAATTTACAAAAAAAATATATCAAATGATAGGTAACGACATCAAGCATCTATATAAAAAAAAATTATATTGATACGTTCATTTTTGAAAAAGTTACGGCATATTTTAGTAAAAAAAATTGAAAAAATTTCGAAAATTAGCGATTTTTAAATTTGTAATTTTTTTGGAGGTTTCCCCCATTTACGGGGAACGAGGGAATTTTTTTCAATTTTTAAGGGTAATGTCTTCGACTAGATACGATTTGTGATCTTTTGACGTATCGTTGAAAGAAATCCGTTCGGTGAGAGCTGAGAAAAAGTGGTAACAGACACAAAAAAAAAAAAAAAAACACACATCATAGTAAAACCAATACCTTCTCAGCTTCGCATCGAAGCTAAAATAATTTAGTATGTTTTTAATAAGGTTGACCGCATCGTCCATCAGATCACATGTTTTGATATAGTTGCTAACATCCTAATAAAGACTTGGTGAAGGATAGGAAAGTGTGTGGTCAAGATTAAAGCTACAATTTAAATTTTATGTGTATTTACTTAGAGTATTGTATTGTTTTTTTATGACAGTGTAACTGTTGCAAATGTGTTTCTATGACACTTTATATGACTCTCAAATTATTTTAATTAAAATATATTTAAAAAAATATAATCTGCAAACTTATTGACCTAATAAGCTATAATTTTCACAATCAATGTTATAATATATACACCTCTCATTATTCAGTAGTCCATAAATCTTTGTCTATTAATCATCCAAGTAAATATATAGAGTGATTTTTTTATCATAACCCATTCAATTACTTACAAAATAAATATAATTTAAACATTTTTTTTTTTTTTGGTTATCTTTAGTTACACATTATTCTTGAATTATTAACTATTTAAAACTTTTTATGTTCATATCTTATTATATATGCCTTGTAAGAGTGTCAACTTTGTTTTTTTAAATGGCAACTCATATTTTGAATTTAATAAAATGTTTGAATTTTTAATTCAATAGTAAGTGGCATTTGAATTTTTAATATAGCTTTATTAGTTTATTAGTAAACATTTAAAGTTTCAAATTTTTGAGTTAATATACATGTATATTACACAAGAGATTATAAATACAGGTAGCTAATTGGATTTTTATGACATTGCTGTCACTGTCACGGATTGTTTATTATCAATTATGACCAGTGTTGAGAAGGAACTGGTTCCAAAAGGAACGGATTCCTAGAACGAGTTCTTTTTGAAGGAACGATGCTAGGAACTGCTTTCTTTTAAAATAAAGGAACGAGGAAAATGAACAAATTCCATTTTTTAAGGAACGTGAACGGAAATTACAGTTCCTAAAAATTTTTATAAACATGTTTTAGTGTAGTTTTCTTCGTATCTAGACATTAAAATATTAAGGTATTTTTAGTTGACTTTTGACAATGGAAGTCCTCTATATACCCAGCCGAGATCGTAGGCTGTTTAAATGAATCAATTGACTATAAATAGAGTTATTATCACATGTAGGTATACAGTAAATATTTAATATATGTGTACATATATTAAATAATGCACCGAATATTATCGTCGTTTCTTGTTAACTAATATATGTTAAAGGTTTTGGGTTTTCTGATTTATTATTTCTAACTTATATGTAGACAATAGACATTGGTCGCGTTGACACAAGTCGTTAGCATTTACTACCTGCTTATAAATATAATTTTCGAATACTTTTAGATAAGGAATACTACAAATTTGTTTAGTATTCGACTGCTGATGAAAATCATTGATGACCGTTATCATTATCTCATTGCCACAATTTATTAAATAACTTTGTTACATAAAAGGAACGAAGAGTGGAACGAGTTCTTATTTTGGAGGAACTGGATCTGGAACAAGTTCATTCTTAATATAAAGAACTAGGATCTAGAACGAGTTCATATTTTAGAAAATGAACGGGGAACGAAACGAGTTCCATTTAAAAAAGAACTTTCCCAACACTGATTATGACTATCAATAGATATACTTTTTGTATTGTCAGTTAGTATATTTATAAATTCACAACAATGTTCTTTATTACCATTGATAATAAAAATTCTGTGTAATTGCGAATATCGATGTTTAAAATTTGAATTAGTGTTGATTTATTTTTTTCATTTTATTAATATTATCGTTGAAGATATTATAAGAACTAGTAAAATTATCAGGTAACATTCTTTTAAATCCAAAAGAATATTTATATTGTTATTTTATGACACTCGATCACACCCCAAATCAATGGTAACTCGAACTCACACTTTAACTCTCACTTTAAATCACTCAACAATACACTCTCACAATTCTTTTCTTTTTACTTTTAATTCCATTTTTTATTAATTTTTGAGTTACCACACCAGTACTAAGCTATTATTGAGCCTGTATTGACTTAGTACTGCACTACTATTAAGCTAGTATAGAATCCCGTACTGATCTACAGTACGGTCAGTACAAAAAAATGTTATCATTTGTGAGTTATGTCAATACAAAATATCAGTACTGGCGCAGTATTGCGCCCTTAGTAAATTTCTGCTTGGGATGTTCCAAAATTATATTATATTAAATTGAATATTACTAAATTGTTAGAAGTCTAATTATTTTTTTAAAATTATAGATTAATATGGAACATCCATATAAATCCAATTGTTCCGATAGTAGAGATTCATAAGAGAAGCACTGCACCCAATTTTTTGTAAAATTGGATGGGGTTTTACCAATCGGTAAAGCCAACGCAAGTATGACATTGCTAGAATTTTGCGATAGATTAATTTAAAAACATATTTTAAAATGTTTTAAGTAGTAGATAAATGATAATACAAACAATATCATTAAAATTATATTAGTCTTTCAAAGTTATAGCATTTTAATTACAAACTTTTACCATAAATACAATGGCATAAATTTGTGAAAAATTAATTATTTTTAAATTACTGATATTTTTCGAAAGTGTGTTTTACCAAAGTTAACTTTATCGTTCAGTTTGTTTGTATTATTTAGTTGGAATTTTTAAAAAACTTAAGTTTACTTTAACTAAATACATTATAGAATTTTTTTTTATTGTTGACCTATTTATAATGAATACATTTAATTTTTTAAATTAACTATTAAGTATTTTATTATGAATGAATATTCTCCTAAAAAATTCTGATCAAATC